ATGTCTTTCAATTCTGGAAATTCTTTTATTTTTTGGAAATTTTTCATCTCTTTTTTCAAAAATAAAATGCATATTAATTGGATATTGGACCTATTTAATCCTCCTTTACTTTTTTTTTTTTTGAGAAAGCAGGATTTATTGGGAGGATAGAAAAGCTCCTAGAGTAGGAGGGGACCTGAGGGGGTTGCCCCTCTTTTACTTTCCATTTTAAAAATATTTGTCTCTTTTTCTACTTTCTGTGAGTTCTTTAATCTTCATTTCCAACCTTACTGTGTGTTTTTTCCTAGATTGTTTATCATTTCTTTCAGTTTCAAGCTCTCTCTATTGTTCTCTGACTGTTCTTCCTACTCTTGTTTGCTGAATCTTCATCTCATATGCTTCTGAGGATATTAACTGCATGACTTTTTATTATTGAAGTTTTGTATATGCCTGGTTTACTATGAGTTGGCTTTTTTCCTTCTGTTTTGGTTTCTTTCTTTTCTGATGAAGGCTTTTATTACATGTTTGCTTATCTTTTGTTGTATATTCACTAAAAAGTTAAAAGAAAAAAATTTTATCGTAAAAAGTACTGTGTTTAAAGCTTGGGCTTGTCAACTGGTGGACAATAGTACAACCAAAAGGAGAAACAAAGACAACCCAGATTCAGAGTATAGGTGATCTACCATGGAAGAAAAGTATAATGTCCCAGACTGATAGCAGAACTAGAGATAAAAGAGGCACCAGTGAAGGAGACAAAATCCTTGCCCTCAAGAAGCTTACATTCTAGTGTACCACCCTATAATAAAGTGGGCTTCATTATAGGGTGATTGAGTGGAGGCCTATTCTTTTCTTGAGGGGCTCCTCAAATACTTACATACAAAGGGGGACTCCAAAAAACCTAAAATTATCTTTTGGAGGGTGGGCCCCTTGTAGTACAGGCTTCCCCTGCCAGGTAAGTGTTCTAGGAACCTATCAATATCAGTGTACCAGCCAGTGTTGTTTTGAGAGGCTACATTCAACTTCATTGAAATTTTTTTTGGAGATTCTTTCAGTTTCATAGTGGGTGATTTAGGAATGCACCTTCCCATACCACAAGAGTTCAGCAGTTTTTGAGCAAAAATGGTATGACTCCCATGCCCCACCCTCCCTATTATCCCAATCTCACCTCTAGCGATTTTTTTTTTTTGTTTCCCCTGGAACAAGTCCTCAAACGGAAACGTTTTGCCAGTGTGGAAGAGATGAAACAAAAAAACGACAGAAGCACTAAAAGGCATAAAAGTTGATGAGTGCAAAAGCATCTTGATAGGTGTATTGCATCAAATGGAGAGTGCTTTGAAGGTGGCTGAAATTTAAAGATGTAAGAATAAATACCAAATTTTTTATAAATAAAGTCTGTTTTTTGGGGGAGGGTGTCTCCCCATCTTTCTTTTCTTAGTTACTGTTCAGTTTTTGCAGCTAATCAAGAATCCTCTGATTTTCTTCCTAAGATATATACTTGACTTCAGAGTTCTTGGGTCTAAGCGCACAAAAGGCTATGGCTTTTACCATTTGATTGTAGACTTTCTCTTAATCCCTTTAACTTTTGATTTGGCATCTCTGTGCTCTTTTTTTTCCCCCTTTAATTGTGCCCTTGAATCTAGTGTTTATTTTATTCATTTTTTTCTTCCACAATAAACTTCTTTTCCTGATGGAATTGCAGAAGAGTAACACCTGGCTAGGTAGAATGGGGGAGGGAATCAGGAAGAGTGCTTCCACAGAAATTAAATCAGTTCCCCCATTTTTAGTTTCATGCATCATTGTGCCAGCTCTGCTATCTGGTGTCTCAAATTCTTGATCCTTTCTGCTTTTGCTATGTGAGTTGGCTTTTTTCTTGTTGGCATTCTCTGCAGTTGTTGGTATTCATCTTTCTTAGCTCTAAATTCTCCATATGTTTTTCATTTGCTGAAAATTTGTTGACATATCTTGTCTACTGTTCCTATTGTTTTCTCATCTAGTCTTTTTATCTTTTTGGATTTATACTTTTTTAGTCCTTTAATCTTATTTTAGTATTTTTTTAGGCAAGATAATAAGAAGTAATAAAACTCATTTTAATTAAAATGGTTATTTGTGAGTAAAGAAAATTTTTAAATTCTTACAGGTGAAAACAAGAAAGGAAGAAAAAGCCAGGAATAAAAATTAGATTATCATTATCAATCATGTACATATTCCTTAATTGATATATATACATGTATGTATACATTATATATAATACATTCACATACATGGATATGTGGATATCTGGATATATGTATATATTTTATGTATAAATATTTTATACACATGTTTAAGTATATATGTTTGTACATATGTACTTTAAATGTGTGCATATATAAACGTTTTTGTGTGTGTGTGTGTGTATATATGTTTACACTTTCATAATAATTTTAAAGCTAGGAAATATTGTGATGATCTTTTACCCAGTGTAGTTTCATTTCTTAATGAGGAAACTGGCTTAGTTGTGTTAATGATTTACCAAAAGTTTAAAAATTGAATCTTCTCAATGTTTTATTAAACTGTTAAATTTTAAACATGTTAATAAATTGGATGTTTAGAGCTATATTTAAAGTCTTTAAGTCTGGCTCTAGACAAATAGCTTAAATTTTTGAATTGAGTCCTAACAGAAATTTTTTAGCTGGTATTGGATTATTTTCAATTGATATTAGAATCAAGGAGGGACTGGATCTTCTGATGATTCTGAAAGCAAAGCAGTAATTTAACATATTACTTTGTTTATAGTAATGATAGTTAACTTATTTTGAATACATATTAAATAAGGCATGAACTTTTATCTGATCTAAACCATTTTGTAGAATGGATCCTGTATTATATGACTTTGAAAAATACCTAGTAACTATTTTAATTTAAAAAATTGCATATGAGAATCTTAAGATTAATTTAAAAGTAAGATAAGTAAGCTTCTTATCAGCTAAGTTAATTCCTAAATATAAAAACCTTGGGTTATCTGTTTTTTCCGTTTATATACTAAATGTAGAAGTGTTATCTTGACTATACAGAAATAGTTTTTTAAAATAAAAAATTATATTTTATAATATGAAAAATTATCTTATTACTTAAATATTATCAATTTTATCTTATGTGCATATTTTCTTAAATTATTATTTCAATGGATACAGTTATAATAATGCTATAATGAATATATTCATGATTATATCCTTCTTTAACAACTTTTTTTGAGATACATTCCTAGAAGTAAGATTTCTCTGTCAAAAAAAATCAACATCTTTATGGCTTTTTATTTTATAATTATATCCTGAAAGAATTATGCTACATATAGGTTTACTAGCAGTGTGTGAAGAGTTGATTGACTTCACAATAATCTCATCAACTTTCATACTTTAGTTAACATTTCCAGTTGGGTGCAGTGGCTCACACCTGTAATCCCAGCATTTTGGGAGGCGGAAGTGAGAGGATTTCCTGAGCCCAGAAGTTCGAGACCAACCTGGGCAACTTGGCGAGACCTCGTCTCTACAATAAAATAAAAAATTAGCTATATGGGGTGGCACATGCCTATAGTTCCAGCTACTTGGAAGGCTGAGGCAGAAGGATCGCCTGAGCCCAGCAGGTCGACGCTGGGGTGGCCATGAGTGTGCCACTGTATTCCAGTCTGGATGACAGAGTGAGACTCTGACTCAAAAAAAAAGAAATGTCTTAAGAAGTAGTAGCAATAGTAGTAGCAGTAGTAGTAGTGGTGGTGTAGATAACAATGATAAAGTTATAACAGAACACCATCAGCCAGAAAGAAGGATTTAGTAAAAATAAAGTAATTTAGCAATTGTACACTATCATATTTAAATCATTTCGGCTTATAAGTCAAGAAACTCACCCAAGAAGTTGTTTTAATTATAGTTGTATTCTGACATGTTCATAGTTCAGTTAAAAAACAGTTGAGGGGCCGGGCTCGGTGGCTCAGCCTGTAATCTCCTGCTTTGGGAAGCTGAGGTGAGTGGATTGCCTGAGCCCGCCGTTCGAGACCCGCCTGGGTAACTTGGTGAGCCCTCATCTCTACAATAAATCAAAAAATTAGCCGGGCGTAGTAGCGTGGTTTGAGACCAACCTGGGCAACGTGGCAAGACCTCTTCTCTATGATAAATCCTATGATAAATCCAAAAAAATTAGCTGGGTGTAGTGGTGCACACCTCTAGTTTCAGCTACTTGGAATGCTGAAGTAGAAGAATCACCTGAGCCCAGCAGGTTGAGACTGCTGTGGCTGTGAATGTGCCACTGCACTGAGCGATAGAGCGAGACTCCAACTCAAAAAAACCCCAAAAAAGGCTGGGCTTGGTGGCTCAGCCTGTAATCCCAGCACTTTGGGAGGCTGAGGTGAGTGTATTGCCTGAACCTGTGGGTTTGAGACCAGCCTGGGCAACTTGGTGAGACCTCATCTCTACAGTAAATAAAATTAGTTGGACTTGGTAGTGTGCACCTGTAGTTCCAGCTACTTGGAAGGCTGAGGTGGAAGGATCGCCGGAGCCTAGCATGTTGATGCTGGGGTAGCTGTGAGTGTGCCACTGCACTCCAGCCGGGGTGAGAGAGTGAGACTCCAACTAAAAAAAAATTCCTTTCCTAAATTTCAGAAGTGAAATGATTATAGCGCATTATTTCAATTTGTGCTTTGTTGATGACTAATGAAGTTTTAACTATTTAAAAATTTAGAATTTTTGTTAGAAAAGTATAATTCTAAGATAGTAAGTTATCTTTCATCTTCAGGAAGTTTGAGAATAAAGGAATACATGATTGTTTACTAAACAAAATGTCAGATAATGACAATTGCAACTTAAAATATCAGAAAATTGGTGTAAAGAATTGTTCTCATGTCTTGTCAAGAAGCTAGGCACATTAGAGTTTTTACTTTAGATGAGTCTTTTTAAATTTTTATAAAGTTTTATATAAAATTAATATATTGAATTTCATTCATTGTGCCACTGTGTTGGAAATAATAGTCTTTTAATTTAAGCTTATAGAAATGGGACGCCGGTCATCAGATACTGAAGAAGAAAGCAGAAGCAAGAGAAAAAAGAAACACCGTAGGCGATCATCTTCAAGCAGTTCTTCAGATAGTAGAACATATAGCCGAAAGAAAGGTGGAAGGAAATCAAGATCAAAATCAAGATCTTGGTCCAGAGATCTTCAGTCTCGTTCACATTCTTATGATAGAAGGTGATTTTCACAATTTTTATACAGTAGTGAGGATAACATCTTTTAGCATTCATATGTTTTTTTTTAAATTTTGCTGGATAAAGCTTTTTTTAATATTTATATGTTTATGAAGGTTAAGTCCCAACCCAGAGATTTTTTTTCTACCAGGTCCAGTTCGTGGATTTAGTGTCCTCAACCTTTGTCTATTGTTTGTAGGCAAGTAGATCATAAAGTGGTATAGTTTTTATACCATATTATGTGATGATATTTGGAATATAAGATTCTTTAGAATCCAGGAGCTTTCTCCTTAATGCTCATAATAAAAATTTTTTATGGCGATGATCTTTGATTATATTTTATTTCAGACGCAGGCATCGATCAAGCAGTAGCTCTTCTTATGGCTCCAGAAGGAAACGAAGTCGAAGTCGTTCAAGAGGTCGAGGGAAATCATATAGAGTTCAGAGGTCTAGGTCAAAAAGCAGAACAAGAAGGTATGCTTTATCAGGTATTTATTGCTTTGTAGCAAACTGTTCCCAAAGTTAGTGATTTAAAGCAACAAAAATTTATTGTCTCATAATTCTACAGTTTTGACGGAGCTCAGTTGGCAATTCTGCTTGTCTCCCCTTGGGTCACTCATGCAGTTGTGGTCATCTGACAGCTTTTTGGCTGTCAACTATGGCTTATGTGGCTTTTCATTCTCCACTAGGTTAGGTTGGGCTTTGTTATATGATGGTGGATGTACTTCAAGATAGTAAGAGCAGAAACCACAAAATTTCTTTAGGTCTAGCCTCAGAACTAAAACAGTATGCTAGGGACTGAATATTTGTGTCTCCCCAAATATATATGTTAAAGCTCCAATTCACATTGCAAATGTATTGTGAGAGAAGTCTTTTATGGAGGTAATTAAGTTAAATGGGGTCATAATGTTGGGGCCCTAAACCAATAGGGCTAATAGCCTTATAAGAAGAGGAAGAGAGAGCTCTTCTTTCCCATTGTTTGTAAAGAGGAAAGGCCATGTGAGGATACAGTGAAAAGGTCACCATCTATAAGACAGGAAAAGAGCCCAGCTGGAACTAAATTGGCTGGTGCTTTGATCTTGGTCTTCCAGCCTCTAAACTCTGAAAATATAAATTTTTGTTGTTTAAGCTACTTAGTCTGTGGTATTTTGTTATGGCAGCCTTGGCAGACTGATTCACAGTGTCATTTCACGTGCATTTTCTTGCCTTGCCTATACAGAGAATAACCTATCTGTAGAGAGTTGTATGTTTTGGTGAATGGTAGAAAATATAATTTAATAGGATGAGGACCACGGTATTGAGGACTTAAAGACATTCAGAAGTTACTGAAGGTTTTTGAATAGAAGACTGTTGGATAAAAAAAAAGTATAAAAACAGTATTTTAGGAAGATGAGTTTCTTTCTCTGCCTAATTCTGTATAATCTTACGCTCTACCTAGGTAGTCATGTTAGCAGCCTGATTTTGTCAACTAGTCACGCAATTCTATAGTTCTTTCTAAATCTGAAGTGATCTGAAGTTGGCTAACAGCAGTAAATTCCAAATATTTAGCTTTACTGGCCTTGTTTTATTTGGCCTCTACCTCCTCTCCTTCTTATATATTACATGTATAAACCACTCTGTCTTACGTACCTTTGTTCTCCATACAAGCCCCAGACCCAGAGTTGTAAGCTTTGTTTCTTTGAGCATGTACTTTCTTCCAGTTTCTTTCTGCCATCTCTACTTTAAGAATTCTTCCTATCCTTTAATTTTCAATTCTATTTGACTTTTAATTCTCTTCTTTCTTAAATCTATTATTGATTTTTACCTTTTTCCCCCCAACTCAAATTTAACCCATTCTTTCTCTGACCTACCATCACACGTGGTTCCTGATTTGTTACAGTTATATTAGAAATATTTTTGTTAGTCCCAACATATAGTAAACTCTTGTAGGAAAATGTCTTGGTAACTAGCATAATGCCTTGCTAAGTAAATATGTGTTGATTGAGTGAATGATTAACTGGAGAAATGAAGTTAGATAGAGAGATGAATTTTGTAGCATGTAAAGTTTTATTTTTTGATATATTGATTTGTTTAAAAGAGGCTGATTATCAGAAAATAACTTCAGTTAAAAGTAGGAATGGAAATAATAATATGCTTTTGTAAGGTCTTTTTCAGTTTACAATTTCATGTGTATCAGTCAACCAGAGTTTGGTTTCGAAAATAGCCACTCAGTCCCAAGTATGTGGGTTTTTACACAGGAAATTAAAGGCTTACAACAACCTTTGGAAGGGCTCAGGGATTGCAGGTTGGGGAAGCTGTCACTGATTATTTCAGCCTGAAGCATGGAAGTTTCTTTGTTTTCTCAGAAGTTCGTGAAAATCTTAACTCTCTCACTTTATAACAACAAAATAAGTGCTTCTCAGGGAACTACTCACTGAGAAGCTACTTCTCTGCCTGTTGTCTACCTTCCACTGCTTCAGAGGGGAATCTGGAAACCTTTTTGTTCTTTATAATGCAAGGAAGACTTTAAAAGAAGAGGCAGTGATATCTAGTCAACAATAGATTAGCACACATGCATTTTGTAACTGAGCTTTCTAACTCTGTCAGGCTGTCATGCGGGATAACACCTTCATTTTGTATATGAAGAAATTAGTTAAAAGGTTTATTCAGATAGCACCCTCTGCGATTGACACTGTCTTCTGCATTTAACTGTAATAAATAATCTGGAGACACTATATTATTTTGGAAAATGTACCTTAGAAATTTATTCTTTAAAATAATTAGATGACCTGAGCCCGCGGGTTCGAGACCCGCCTGGGCAACTTGGTGAGACCTTATCTCTACAATAAATAAAAAAATTAGCTGGACGTGGTAGTGCACGCCTGTAGTTCCAGCTACTTGGAAGGCTGAGGTGGAAGGATCGCCAAAGCCCAGCAGGTTGAGGCTGTGGTGACCGAGAGCGGCAACTGCACTCCAGTCTAGGCGACAGAGTGAGACTCCAACTCAAAAAAAATAAATAAATAAAATAAAATAATTAGATGAGTTTCTAGGTTAATCTTGATTATTAAACGACTCATTCCTTGAACAATTTAGTTAGTCAAGGCTTTATCTTAGAAAAGATCCAGGTAGTTGTTCAGAGAAAAGTTACTGTATAATTCTAAATCTGAAGGTGTGTTAACGATCTCTGTCCTTTTCAGGAGAAAAGAGTGATTTCAGTATTGAAAAGTCAGCTATTTTTAGAAAACTTTGTTGTTACATGTATAAAAAATATTTTAAAAGATGAAGCATATTATGGGGGATGGCAGGAAGTGGTTAGTCATATGTTTGAAGTTTACTGCAATTTCCATGGATAAGTTATAGGGTAAATTGGGTGATTATGCTTTTTAATACAATTTTTTTTTTTTGAGTCAGAGTCTTACTCTGTCACCCAGGCTGGAGTGCAGTGTCATGTTCACGGTCACTGCAACCTCCACCTGCTGGGCTTAGGTGATCCTTTTGCCTCAGCCTTCCAAGTGGCTGGACCCACAGACGCATGCTACCATGCCCAGCCAATTTTTTGATTTATTGTAGAGACGAGGTCTTACCAAATTGCTCTGGCTGGTCTCGGACCCCTGGACTCAGGCAATCCTCTCACCTCCATCGCCCAAAGTGCTGGGATTACAGGTGTGAGCTACCATGCCCAGCTTTGATGGAATTTTAATGTTTTTCTTGAAGTATTCGAGTTGTGACATCTAAATGCTTTTCTCCAACAGTGAGAAACCTCCTATCATTCACAATATTTGCTTATTTGTTCAGTTATAGAATACACAGAAAGTAGTTTCAGAATTGCTGACCTATACCACTGTGAAAAACAAACTTACAAATTAGAATTCAGTATTTTTTATGGTTCTTTTTACTGTACCCTGAGGGTGTATAATTATGTACTCCAATCCCCACCCTTCTTTTCATATGATTAGCTTAGATTTTTCATTTTGCAAGATTAGGTTCATTCTATTTGGTCTTTTTATATTTCTTTTAAAGTATTATCTCTCTGAAAGTTTTGATTTTATGTCTCTCTTTTTATTTATTTTAGTATGTGAAACTTTAATATGGTTCCAAAGACACCACTATACTAAAAGGTGTACTCAAGGAAGTATCATTCCCTTTTCTTCCTTCTATCCTGTTTCTACCCACCCTTGTAGGTAGCCAGTATTACTAGGGGCTTGGCCTTCTTGTGTTTCTCATAAAACACATGAGTAGTTATATTTATGATATACTATGGACATATTTTACACTTTGCATTTTTACTTTATAAGTATGTCTTAGAAATTATTCTTTATCAATTTATAGAGATCTTATATTTTTATAGTTGCTTAGTATTCCATTATGTGGATGTATCATCGTTTGTTTAGCTGCTGTCCTAGTTATGGACATTAAAGATACAGCCAATATTTTGCAGTTTCTGAAAAGTTGCCCCGAATAACCTCATGCATGAGTAGTTTTTACTGTTGAAGTTGTACTTTCACAGGAAATTCCTAGAAGTAAGATAACTGGATCAAAAGGTAGATATGTTTATAGTTTTGTTAGAAATTGCCAAATTCCTGTTAGTAATTTGTGATAGTCCTTTTTCCTTCAAGCATCACCAATGGAATGTTTTGTCATACTTTTTAAATGTTTATCAATCTGATAGATGAAAAATGGTATTTTAGCATTGTTTTAATTTTTCATTTCTTTTTATCCTAAGTGAGTTTGAACATTTTAAGGACCATTTTTCTCTTGTGTTTTTTTTTTTTTTTTTGAAAGACACAGATCTTGCTCTATCACCAAACTGGAGTGCAGTGGCATGATCATTGCTTACTGTAGCCTGAACTCCTGGGCTCCAGTGACTCTCTCCCCTTAATCTCCTGAGTAGTTGGGAATAGAGGTGTGCCATGACTGCACCTGGTTTCTACCTTTTGTGTGTGTGTGAATTTTCTTTTCTTTGGCTATTTGGTCTTTTTTTCCTATAGGGTTATGAGTTATTTAGCAGACACATTAACTCTTTAGTTGTGATACAAATGGCAATTTTTTTTTGTAGTTTTTCAGTTGTCTTTTGTCTTTGTTTATAGTATTTCTTGGCTATGCAAAAGTTTTTTTTTTAATGTGGTCAGATTTATTATTTTCTTTCAATGCATCTTTCTTTACATTCAGAACATAGAGAAGTCTTTCCTTACATCTAGACATAGAGGAATTCACTGATTTTTTTTTCCCCCGGTATGTTTGTTTGATTTCATTTTTTACATTTAGATCTTTTATTCTTACGTAGAGTGTGAGGCGTGGATGTATATTTTTCTTTTTCCAGTTGAGTGTTATCACATTCCCGTTAAAAAAAAAAAAAATGTTAGCCGGGCTTGGTGGCTCAGCCTGTAATCTCGCGCCTTGGGAGGCTGAGGCGAGTGGGTTACCTGAGCCTGCGGGTTCGAGACCCACCTGGGCAACTTGGCGAGACCTCATCTTTACAATAAATCAAAAAATCA